TATATATATATATATATATACGAACCTGTAGTTTGTCCAAAACAGTATTCCTGTCCATACACCTCAACACCTGCATGGAAGGCTCCTGCCCCTAATGGCCTCATTAATCTATTTATATAATTAGATATAGCAGGAGTTAAATCGTATACATGTAGTAATACCATACGTGGAGAAAATACGGGAAAAGGCGAACCCCGGGGGCCCCGTGGAACGCTCAGGGGGGCCCCAGGGGGGCCCCCAAGGGGGGCCCCATGAATTACACCAGGAGGTACCATTTGAGGAAGAGATGGAGGAAAAGATTGGGGATCGGCAGAGGGTCTTGATAGATTTATGCTGCTGCTGTTGTTGCTGCTGCTGCTGGTGTCGCTGCTGCTGGTTTTGCTAGAGGTGTTACTGCTGCTGCTGCTGCGGTTCTGGTGTTGATGCTGCCGTAACAGCAATACTTGCTGCTGCTGCCGTACCTCAGCTAGCTGCTGCTGCAGCAGCAAACGTTCTTTCCTTAGACGTGCAGCACGACGATGTCCTTCTTCACGTAGTTGCTGCAGTTGCTGCCTTAACTTCTTCGTTATCCCCTTATCATCATCACTCTCCTGCTGCTGCTGCTGCTTCTGCTGCTGCTGCTTCGACCCAGCAGCAGCAGCAGCAGCAGCAGTGTCTTCCTCTTTAACAGGAGAGGAGAGCAGCGTATCAAGAGAGCCACGGAAGCAACGCAAGTTAACGCATGAATTCTGCTGCCTGCTGCTACTGTTGCTGCTGGGGCCCCCTTCCAGTGCATCATAGGGACCAGGAAGAAAAGGGTACGAATAGGGGGCCCCCCAATTCTTTGGGGGACCCCGAGACATACACCCGACAGAAGCAGCAGCAGCAGCAGAAGCATGGCTATCAATACTAGATCTTGCTGTGTACATACACTCCAATGATATATCTGAGGGAGCAGATCCCCCTGCAGAACCCTTCCCCGTCTTGTTGTTAGTTAAGGGGGGCCCCGCTTGGGGCCCCCTTGGGGCCCCCATGGGGCCCCTCGCAGCAGACGAGAGGGAAGGAAGAGCAGGAAGAGAAGTTGCCTCATTATTCATTGGGAGTTTCGCACACTCCATAGCTAATATAAAGGAGAAGAGGGAATATGCTGCTGCTGCTGCTGCTGCTGCTTCTCCCGTTGCTGCTGATGCTGCAGCAGCGCCTACTGAGAGTAACTGGGCCGCTGCTGCAGCTGCTGCTGGTGTCCTTATGCTAGCGACCTGCTGCAGCAGCTGCTGCTGCTTGTTTGTGCTGCAGCAGCCCGCAGTCGCTGCATCGGTTGTTGCAGTGTTGAGGTGTATATACGCCGGAGTGTAGGCGAGGGTTTATGAATGAAGACAGCAGAGGATGAAGAAAGAAGAAAAAGGGTTTATTAAAGTTTATTTATTACAATTGACAAATTAAAATTAAATAAAATAAATAAAGAAAATAGAAAAAGAAAGAAAGACGGGCCGTTGCCGCCTCCCGGCGGTCTGGTGGCGTGCATGTACACCCGAACCATCCGACCGTAAACCCTAAACCCTAAACCCTAAACCCTAAACCCTAATCCCTCGAAAATAAGGCAATAAGCACATAAAAATGCTTGAAAAACTCCAAATATCATTTATTTTCTATTTTTAATCTGAATTTTTCTCCTTTTTACCCTTTTACACCCCCCATAACACTGGACTACCATACACCCCTGCTGTCGGCAGCGGTTTAATAACGAACCCTACATAAGGATCTACGGCGAGGGCCCCCCCCTGGGGCCCCCCTCTTAATTTTCCTTCTTTTTATGGTATTATTACTTACATACAATATATTTGCATACAGAAGACTCAAAAATAGCTAAAATCCAACAAGAAAGGGCCCCCAAACCCTCCTTTGTAGCACACAGACAGCAGCACGGGGCCCCCATACATCGCTCTCCTTACAGCTTCAGGTGTACATACACCGCAAAGAGGGTACATTTTATATTTTGTTTTGTTTTTGTTTATATTTCTAATGCAAAAGAAGGAAGTACGATCTGTAGAGATCAGTAATAAGCCCTGCTGCAGCGACAGGAGACGCAGCAGCAGCAGCAGCGGCAGCGACAGCAGCAACAACAGCAGGAATATGACACCAACAGCAACAAGGGTCTCCTGCCTTCCTCGGCGTCAGTAGCAGAAACTGCAGCAACAACAGCAGCAGCAGAATTAACTTAAAAGGAGCCCAACCAATGGAGGTAGCAGCAGCAGCCGCAGAAGCAACAGCTTGCAACGCTGCTCTAGCAGCGGTACCCAAGGGCCCCCCCCGGGTTCACAGCTGGTGGGGAAGGGGCCCTCAATACATACCACCTTGCCATCCCCTCAACCTTCAGTTGAAGGGGCACCTTGGGGGGCCCAGTGATGGGGCCATTGGGGGGCCCCCAGAGGGGCCCCCCTGGGGAGATGTTAAGGAGTTAGATATCCCAGCAGTTGGCTTTGAGAGGCCAGTCTTCGTGACTACCCGTCCTGTTGCTGCTGCTGCTGCTGCTGCTGTCCCACCTGCTGCTACTTGTTCTGCTGCTGCTTCTAGTGAATCTACAGCAGCAGCAGCAGTAGCAGAAGCAGCAGCAGCAGCAGAGTTAGATAAAGGTGTTTTTGTGGGTACGTTAGTTACCCTCGTTCCTCCGGGGCCCCCCGTGGGTTCGGAGGGACCTCCTTCATCGAAGGGAGGCCCCGGGGGCCCCCCCAAAACAAGAGGGTACCCCAAGGGCCTCTCTAGAGGAAGCTGCATTTGCTGCTGCTGCAGGTACCCTAAAGAAGGTAGAACAGTGTGCCTATCTTACCAGGTTTGGTGCTTGGGGCCCCCCCTTGCTGCTGCTGAGGGGTCCCCCCTTGCTGCTGTAGAGGGGGCCCCCCGGGTGGAAAAGGGTTTACCTAAGGAGGGGCCCTGGAGCTTTAGAGAGCTGCAGCAGCACTTAGAGCAACAACGTAAGAGGCCCCCAGCTGCTGATGCTACTGTTGCTGTTGCTGCTATTGCTGCTGCTGCTCTTACTGCTGCTGTAACTGTTGCTGCTGCTGCTGCTGCTGCGGCTGCTAGTCGGGTATGGATTTGTCTCTCTTTCCAGCTGCAGCCTTCTCGATGTATTTGGTGCTGCTGTGCTGCTGCTGCTGCTGCTGCTGCCTCAGCTGCTGCTGCTGTGTCTCTTCTTGTTGCTGCTGTGGGAGGCGCTGCCCTCGGCCTTGGACTTAGTGCTGCGCTGCAGTATATGCTGCCAGGTACACCACAAACCCTAAACCCTAAACACTAAACCCTAAACCCTAAACCCTAAGAAATCTAATTACGTCTGCTGCTCTTTTTCTACAAGCCCACAACTACAAAAAGGATGAGAGTCTTATTATGGTAACAAGAAGGGTTTAGGGTTTAGGGTTTAGGGTTTAGGGTTTAGGGTTTGAGCTGTTGCTGCTGCAGGAGAAGAATGTTTGTTGCTGCTGAAGGCTGCAGCAGCACCACCTGGTTTAGTTAAGGATAACAGGCGTGGCAGAAGCTCGCCTACAACAGCAGCACCAGAAGCAACAGCAGCAACAGCAGCAACAGCAGCAGCAAGGGATTGGTGGCTGCTGCGTATGTGTCTCCATTACCAGACATCAATGGTCCCCTTATGTGTCCCTTTGTCTCTTTATAGAGACACATACCGTAGTCTCCTCTTCCCTCCTGCAGCAAAGGCAAACAGAGGGCAACGAACTGCAGCAGCAGCTGCTGCTGCAGCAGCAGCTGCTGCTGCTGCTTCTGGTGAAGGTGACAGCTCGCGATGCTGCTGCTGCAGCAGCGAAGAAGCATACAGCGGGGCAGACGACCCAGATACCGACACATGCAGCAGCAGCAGTAGCAGCAACTGCAGCAACTGCATCAACAACCGTTGGGACGGCACCACAGCGATCCCTAGCAGCAGCAGCAGCAGCAGCAGTAGCAGCCGCTGCAGCATATGCAGTACCTGCATAGAGAGGCGTAAGGCACGAGAAGGGCGAAGCTCTCGTCGTATTTTGTCTCTTCCTGCTGCCTTCGTATTCTTCAACCAGGAGGGGGCCCCTAAAGGGGCCCCCCACGACTACCATCAGGGGCCCCAGGAAGGGGCCCCTAAGAGGGCCCCTGAGGAGTCCCGTGAGGAGTACTCTTACGAGACCCCTCAGGACGACCAGCAGGGGGCCCCTAGGGGGCCCCCAGGGGGCCCCCTGAGTGTGTTAGAGGAGGGGTGTAGGGTAACACTTCAATTTGAGGTGTATATGCAGGTGTGTTGCTGCAGCAGGAGACAGTTGCTGCTTATTATTTTTTTTGTCTCCTTTATTGGCTGTACAGCTGTCTCCTTTTTTGCCTCTTACTGTCTCCTTTACTGTCTCCTTCCTTTTATTGTCTCCTTTTTTATTTAATTTATTTGTTTATAGGACGGACAACCTGTCCCCTTCCCCCTCTCCTTTGGGGGCCCCTGTGCCACGTCTAAGGGGCCCCCTCCCCACCAGTACACCTATACATACACCTTAGGAGAGGGGGCCCCTCTCTGCCTAGCAGCAGATCTTTGCCTTCGTACCCTTGACCTGAGGGGGGCCCCCTTTGACTTGTTTGTTCCTCCTCTTTGGGGTTCGGGTACCCTGGATGGCGGGGGACCCCTTGAGGGGGGCCTCCATGGGGGCCCCCATGGGGGACCCCATAGGGGCCCCCAAGCAAGCAGCGGTGCCTCTGCTCTTAGCTCGCCCCTGCTTCTTGGGAAGCCCCTTTATTTTAAGGGACTAAAGGTTATCTCTGTCTCCCCGCCGCATGCAAGCAGCAGCAGCAGCAGCAGCAGCACCAACACCAGCAGCAGCAGCAACAACAACAACAACAGCAGCAGCAGCAGCAGCAGCAGTTTATTGGAGAGTCAGCTACTAAGGAAGGAGGCGAATGCAAAGTTTGCGAAGGGGAAGATACATGCAGCTCTCCGACTGTACAGGCGTGTACGTGAGGGTTTAGGGTTTAGGGTTTAGGGTTTAGCAATTTGGGTTTAGGGTTTAGGGTTTAGGGTTTTGGCCTTTATCTGTTTGCTGTTTCTTCTTATTAGGCAGATGCTGTCTTAGGGGGGCCCCCCTTTGGGGGCCCCACAGGTACATGGGCACACACAACAATAAAAGTTAATGAGGCCCTTGCCTTTCTTAGGATAAGACGATACGAAGAAGCTCTTGCATGCGCTAATGAGGCAAGTTGCTGCTGCTGTTGCTGCTGCTGCTGCTGTTTCTGCTGCTGCTCTTGTATTTTTGTTGTTGCTGCTGCAAAAGTATCTATCCATAGGGGTGTATCCATCATCATCAGCAGCAGCAGCAGCAAGAGCAGCAGCACCCTGTGTGTGTATTTTTGTGTAGGCTTTGCTGCTGTCTCCTAACAGCAGCAAAGCAGCACATCGTAAGGCAAGGGCCCTTATTGGCCTCCATAGGTACAAGGAAGCAGCAGATATCTGTCTCCTTGCTGCAGCACAGCAGCAAGAAGAGACACCAGAGGCAGCAGCAACAGCAGCAGCTTTTCGTAATCTTTTAAACAAGCTGCAACACAAAAGAGCTGTATGGCAGCAGCAGCAGCAGCAGCAGCAGCAGCAGCAGCAGCAGCAGCAGCAGCAGCAAGAGCAGCAAGCGCGGCAACAAAGCGGCACGACGACCATACAACAGCAGCAGGAGCTGCAGCAGGAGCTGCAGCAGGAGCTGCAGCAAACCTAGCAACAGCAGCAGCAGCAGCTCGTTGCAGCAGTAGCAACTGAGTTATGCGTGCATCCTGCATATGGGCTGCATGCATGCAGCGCAGCAGCAGCATGCAGATGGGGCCGTCCCTCTATTGACGTGCAGCAAGAGGAGACACTTAACTGTCCCCTTAATTAAGTGTCTCCCTTACTAACTGTCTCTGTATTTATTCCTATTTAAGCAAAAGATGGGGCTGCATGCAGGCCGCTCTCCATGCTGCTGCTGCTGTTGCATGCAGCAGCAATATCTATTTCAATTCTTTAAAGACAACGCCGTAAACACTATCTAGGGTTTAGGGTTTAGGATTTTAGGGTTTAGGGTTTGAGGGTTTAGGGTTTGAGGGTTTAGGGTTTAAGGGTTAAGCAACATATAGAAACGCTATTTTTTTCTTTGCTGCTGCTGTAGTGGTGTATGCTGCACTCCTTGCTGCTGCTGCTGCTGCTGCTGCTGCTGCTGCGGTGTTGCATGAGTTGCTGCTTAGCTGCAGCAGCAAGAAGCTTAATATATGCATGCAGTGTGTATGCATGCATATGCATAGCCAATCATGGGTCTTATGCCTGTTAGAAGGGCAACCGTGCAGCAGCAGCAGCAGTAGCAGCAGTAGGACCAGGATCAGCAGCAGGAGCAGCAGCAGGAGCAGCAGCAAGATGTGGGGCAACACATCAGCAACGCAAGCAGCAAGAACTGCTGCAACACTTCAGCAGCAGAAACAGCAGCAGCAGGACAGCAGCAGCTGGAGCAGCAGCAGCAGATATAACTCGTGCTGCAGTGCAGCAAGATTCCTTTGCTGCTGCTGCTATTTACATTTAATTAAAAGCAGCAAAAATATTTTGCTGCTGCTGCTGTTGTTGCAGCAATAGCAATTATATATAGAAAGGAGGTTTACCTGCTGCTGCTGCTGTTGCTGCCTCCAGCAGCAGCAGCTGCTGCTGCATGCAGAGGCTCTCGCTGCAGCTGGGGCTGCAAAAGATAATAAATAATTAAATAAAATAAAAAAGAATAAATAAATTATTTATTCCCTTTTAATTTATTTAATTATTTATAAGCAAAAAAGGGAAAAAAGCAGAAAAACGCATGCAAGTTACGTCTGTCTTGCTGCTGCCGCTGCTGCTGCTGCAGCAGCAGCAGCAGCAGCAGCTGCTGCTGCTGCACGACGAACTACATGTAGCCACCACCCCACGGGCTGCTGCAAGACTAACCATTAAATAAATAAATTAATTATAATATTTTTTATTAAATGTTTAATATAAAGAAGAGAGTCAGTGGTTAACAAAGATATAATAAAGAAGTAGCTGCAGCGCGAGCAGCAGGAGCAGCAGCAGCAGCTGCAGCAGGAGCAGCAGCAGCAGCAGCAGCCGCTGTTGGCATACCTTGCGTAGACAGTCAATACAGCATAAATTTCCCCCGCAAAAATAGAGAAATACATTTTGCTGCTGTTGCTGCTGCTGTTGCTTCTAAGGAGTCTTCGGCGGTGCAGCAGCAGCAGCAGCAGTAGCAGCAGCATTGGCGCCCGTGGCAGCAGCAGCAGCAGCAGCAGTAGTACATATAAAGAGCCACTGCAGCAGCAGCAGCAGCTCTCTTTGCTGCCCTCTTTCCTCTCTTCCTATAAATATATCCTTATATACAATATTGAGGTGTATATACACCTCAATATTACCTCTTTATAAGCAGCGCATGCAAAAAAATCCTCTATCTCCATGTACACTGCACGCCGCAGCAGCACGCTAGCAGCAGCAGCAGCAGCAGCAGCTAATCGAAAGCTGCCTCTACACCCCAATTAAGTACCCTCAGGCTTACCTGCTTACAGCAGCGTGGTACCCTTGGGGGCCCCCCTAAGTATATTCATCAGGTGGGGGGCCCCTCGTGACGCCGCAGCTCAGCAGCAGTAGCAGCAACAGCAACAACAGCAACAACTGCGGCAGCAGCAGAAGCAACGATAACAGTAGCAGCAGCAACAGCAGCAGCGGCAGCGGCAGCAACAACAGCCACAGCCATTCAGCTGAGGCAGCATGCAGACGGAGCAGCACACTGCAGCAGCAGCAGCAGCAGCAACTGATCCATCAAGTTGAGCAGCAGCAGCAACAGCAGCAGCAGCAGCAGCAGCTCCGCTGCAACAGGTAGAACTCCCTTAGCAGGTCCTTGAATATTTTTGAACATCAACAGCAACAACAGCAGCAGCAGCAGCAACAGCAGCAGCCAAAGCAGCAGCAGCAGCAGCAGCAGCAGCAGCAGCAGCAACACCATCATCTGCTGCATCATCATCATCAGCATCTCCTTCCCCCCCAAATCATCATCACCATCACTAGCAGCAGGAACCGCAGCAGCAGCAGCAGCAGCAGCAGCAGCAGCAGGAGCAGCACTATCAGCTGCACCATCAGCATCAGCATCAGCAGCAGCAGCAGGAGCAGCAGGAGCAGCAGGAGCAGCAAATGGCGTATGCACAATCAATAAACTCTAAAGGCCCATCGGGTGTATCTATAGGAGGGTTTACACCACAAAGACAATTAAGAACAAGACCTGTTGATGGAGCTAAACCCTTATTTATTGTTAGATCTATTAAAGATCTAGAAATACTCGCGGTAGGGTTTAGGGTTTAGGGTTTAGGGTTTAGGGTTTAGGGTTTAGGGTTTTGAAGGGGAAGGTTTAAGGCTTATGTAGATGTATTTATTGTTAGATCTATTAAATATCTAGAAATACTCACCGTAGGGTTTAGGGTTTAGGGTTTAGGGTTTACTAGGGTTTAGGGTTTACTAGGGTTTACTAGGGTTTACTAGGGTTTAGGGTTTATTAGGGTTTAGGGTTTGCTAGGGTTTATTAGGGTTTAGGGTTTATTTTTAGGTCTATTAAGGATCATGATATATAGTAACAGTAGGGTTTAGGGTTTATTAGGGTTTGCTAGGGTTTTAGGGATAGCTAGGGTTTAGGGTTTAGGGTTTAGGGTTTAGGGTTTGCGTTGTTTGTCTCCTTATCTTGTGGTGTATAGGTGTCTCCTTTTGCATGCATGCATGCATAGTATATAAGTGTCTCCTTTTTAATTAATTTAATTAATTAATTAATTAATTAATTAATTAATTAATTAATTAATAAGTGTCTCCTTTTTTGTGTGCATGCATGCATGCATGCATGCAGGAGGAGGAAGGAGTACGACTAGATGCAGCATCATTAGGGTTTGTGTCTCCTGAGGGTTTATTTAAGGAGGAAGCAGCGCATGCAGGAGGAGGGCATGCGCATGCAGGAGGAGGGCATGCAGCCCCAAAGCCCCAACGCATGCATGCAATTGCTGTACCTCCTATACAAAAAGAAAAAAAAAAACAAACAATAAAAGATTTCTTTAGGCCTGAGCATTATATAAGAACAGAGACTAATAAAGATCTGTACGTCTCCTTCTTTTTTCTCTCCTTTTTTCTCTCCTTTTTTCTCTCCTTTTTGTCTCCCTTTTTTTTTGTCTCCTTTTTGTCTCCTTTTTATTTGTCTCCTTTTTATTTGTCTCCTTTTTGTTTGTCTCCTTTTTGTCTCCTTTATTGTCTCCTTTGTTGTCTCCTGATGGTAGTATATATGTATATGTATACATATACATATATATGTATATGTATATGTATACGTATATATGTATATGTATATGTATACATATATATGTATATGTATATGTATACGTATATATGTATATATGTATATATGTATATATGTATATATGTATATATGTATATGTATATAACATAAAAAGATAGCGAATAAAATAAATAAATAAGTAAATAAATAAATAAAATAACTAAATAAATAAATAAATAAATAAATAAATAAATAAATGTATATATATATGCATGCATGCAGAGTTAGTGGTACCTGATGGTAGTGTAGTACACTATGAGATGCTAGAAGAAGATGAACAATTTGTTGATTCATTAAATATTAGATTAAATAAAAATAATTTTATTAATGATAAACCTTCTTATATACCTGCAGATCCTAGTGCTAATTATTTTGCTGCTGCTGCTTCTTCTTCTGCTGCTGCTGCTGCTCCTGATGCTGCTGATGCTCCTGGTGGTGCTGCTGCTGCTGATGCTCCTTCTCCTGATGATCATAATGATCATGATCCTGCTGTTATAGCAGCAAAAGCTGCAGCAGCAGCAACAGGAGAAACAACAACAACAACAGCAGCAGCAGGAGCAGCAGCAACAGCAGCAGCAGGAGCAGCAGCAGGAGCAGGAGCAGCAGCAGCAGGAAATGAGGACAATAAGGGCATAAATTCTTCTAATAAACCTATAGTATCAATAGGATCAGGATCAAGTACAGCATCAGGATCAAGTACAGCAGCAGGAGCAGCAGCAACAGCAGCAACAGCAGCAGCAACAGCAGCAGGAGCAGCAGCAGCAGCACCAACATCTGGTCCCTTCCGTCTAGTTATAAATCCTTTATGTTTAATGAATAAATGTCTGTATTTATCAGACATTTCCTTTGTTAAGTTAATGGATTCATTAGAGAAAGCAGCGCATGCAAAAGGAGGCAATGAATTATCTATTTCTCCTGAGGAAGCAGCAAGAATTGCTACACAACAATTACATTTGGGGCTGCATGCAGTTATATATAGACAAGTACATGCAGTAAGTTATATATATATATATATATATATATT